CCCTCAACGTTTGACCCTCGTCGCTCTAAGGCCGATTCACATCCATCCGTACCATACAGTACCGACACCGTTCAGACGTTAAAAATTCGTCACTGTTCAGTAACGTCCGTTTAGTAAATATATCGTCGCAGATCACTGTCCGGACACGAATGCTGATACAAACGCTGAGACGTAAACTGAATCAGCCTGTACTCGTTATGCTTGAATACAAACGTGTATGCGTAATCAATAAAATTGTTTGACAAGTCAAAAACTGTAAAATATTTAAAAAGTCACAATTGGCATAAATTTTATACTAGAAATGATGCAGGCGTATCACTTTGCACTGAAATATATTACTGATATGATCTTGACCTTAGTCATAGTTTCTAATAATTCTGTGATAAGGCGTCGTTTTTTTTTTTTTCATCTGTCAAAAGGATACGTTGAACTTGCGAACTGACTACAGTTTCCGGTAGATGGATAAGTTGGTGATGGGGTAGGCGTTCGTAATGCTCACTTCCGAGGAGGTAGTGGGGAACTGTGGCGTATAGAGAAGTCCGACTGTAATTACAAAGAATTGCCCGGAAACACTTCTACCTATTATTATTCTGTACGAGATACACGTACTGTCTTTTGTAACTTATAATGACTCGCGTGTATATATATATGTATACAGTCACTCGTGAAGTATCCGTCATTTAGTATTTATACTTATTATCGTCCTCAAAAAGGGATCTTCGATTGGGCGTCTCGGTGCGGGAAACTTTCTTTTACGATCAGTGACGCCATAACGTTTCCTCTTTATCCGTCGCCCTGTCTTCCTTACCGACACTCACGAGTGTCGCCATCTCTCGGTATCGCGGTGAATTACGAGAAGGTCTCGATTATCTTCCTAAGGCTGGTATACGTGCCTACGATTAAACCTAGCATACCGAATGCCACCAAGGACGCATTTTTCGCGACCATCAGGATCTTCTCGTTACGTCCTATTACGCTCCAGTAGGTGCAAGTCTGAATGATGGCCGGGAATGCAAGACCAAGTGCGGAGAGACAGAGTGCACCAAACAAAGAAATGAAGAGCTCGAGTTCGGGTATAGCGACGGCCAACGAAACTGTAACAGAAGAAATCGGAGGAAAAATGAACGAAGCTCTAGCCAACGGGAGACCACGATGTATATTTATTTGCCTCTTTCACTCTCACGCGACAATTATTGTACGTGTATATGAATAATTCTAAGGCCTCGTTCGATATGCTCGCAAAACCGCAGCGAAGTCAAGCTAGTGAAACTCGTGTCAAGTTTCCAAGGTGGGTACAGCTCGGTGTAAATTAATTCCTAAATTTAATTTGTCTTTTAATCAAATTGTTACTAACGGTACTTACACGTCAGTAGAACGAGGAAGGTCCTCATCACGTATTCCCATACGATTTTCCTTGGATTTTTTTCGAACATAGGACCAACGTAATCGTTCCAGGAAATGTCGACGGCCACGTAGTTCTGAAGGGCGTGTGTGACGTATATCGCGAGAGCCAAAAGAATTTGTACAACCTTGGCCAATATCTCGTCGGGAAGGTTAAGGGTTATGCTTCCCTTAATGTTATCGCCGTAACAAATGTACCCGAAGAAACCCATTCCCATGTAAAGGAAGACAATAGTGAACATGCCGATATTGAGAACGCCGCAGGTGCTGGCAAAAGATTTTGGAGATTTCATCTCATTCTCCAACGGCATTATCTACAATATAAAAAAATATTATCGATTAATAAAAAGTTATCGTGTATCGACAATCGTTATGCAATTACATTGACAACGAAGGTAATTAAATTATTGTTTTTTTTTACTCACCACGCCAATGGCTTCCAGGGCGAACAACACGGTGCCGAAGAAAAGCGGGAAATTTTGAACCTGGCCGATCGGCGCGCGATTTTCAAAATTTGGCACTTCTCTGAAGATGTAGTACACGATTATGCCAAAGCTGATGAAAGTGATGACATTTGCGATTATCGAAAACGGCGCCAGGAACTTCAGATTTCTCACCCAATTTATAAGGATCAACGGTAGAAGTATGATGAGCATATACATTTTTACTCCGATATCTACGTAATTGCTGAGTGCCTGTGACAAATAAAAAATGACGTTTTTTTTTATTATTAAAAAAAAATTTTAATTTTGCCAATCGCATTCCCATGCAGGTATAAATGCATTTCTATCGACGGCACGCGTTTTAAGTTGCATCAGTAGTATCTGAGCTTGCAGTGTAAATTTGTTCTTTAACTTTGTCACGGAACGTCCTGCTCGATTTTCTTGGCTCTAACGAATTGCCATAAACCGCCAAGGACGTGAGGAAATATAAAAGTCACGTTTATTTTTTATGACAACAACGACAGTTTCCGGTACTCTTTCATGGCTGTCACGTTGCGCAAGAATATAATTTTTCCCTTTACCCAATGTATACCATCACCTTCGATTTTAACACTTGTCAACGAATAATAATAATATTACCGATTCTCATTTTTTTTTTTTTTTTTTTTTTTTTTTTTTTTTTTTTTTCAATCAGACTCAATAATCATTCTGGTTATCATTGCTACCAAATTACCTAATCCAGGAAACCGTGTCAGCATTCCCAGCAAATAATCGGCCCGATACGCTTTCGATTACGGCTCTCCGATCATTCTCATGATTTTGCTACCTGTTTCCCTGACCCGGATAGACTGTTTTTTTTTTTTTTTTTTTTACGATTCTCGACTTCTCCGCGCCGTAGTCGACGACACGATAATTGAATTCCAATGATATTTCTGAAATCGCGAATCTCACCTTTTTTACTTCAATACCGTTAGTTTTTCTTTGTCAGTTTAAATATCGGGTTCCTTAAACTTAACTTTTCATTCATACCCAAGGTACATATTTTTGTACACGCGCACGTGTATCTTTTTATGGGTCACTTACCGAATGTAAATTGGTGGCGATAAACACGACGTAGACGCAACACGTGCCCAGTTGATAAATTAGGAGGAAAACGTTGATAACGTGGCTGTAATGATAAGAACAAAAAATTATGATTTTTCGATATACAATTTCCTTTTTTTTTTCCTATGATTTTTAACAAATACTTTCCCTCGACGTTTCCATTTTTTTTTATCCTCACGCGTACCAACGCAAAAATTTTCACACGCTCCTAGCGAAGATCTTTATCGCCCCGGTAAAATTACTTAATAATCATTAAGTCGTTGCATTACTCCGATACTATCAAACCGATTGTCTGCCACTGGTGTAATACATTGCAATAACTTGCGTAGTTTTAAAGTTTTGTAACAGTGCGCCGTAGGTGCTTGACCTACTATTACTTACCATTAAATGCTCTCCACTGTCTTTTGTATTACGGATAGTCAATAGTATTCGCATGTACCGTGGCTGTGCTAATAGCGATAGTCATGCAATTGCAAAATGTAAGAGCGATTGAAATAATAATAACGATAAAGAAATCTTTGCCGAAAATTGAATGAGTGACTGGTCAAAAAATGTGTACAGTACCGCTTTTGTATTTGTGAAGGATGCCAGAGGATAAGAATAAAAAAAAAAATAAAAAAAGTACAGACAATAATATCGTGGCTTTACGTGGATCGTGCAACGAGCTACGAGCGAAATTGCAGTTGCACTGATATTACGTGAATTGAAAAAAAAAAATACTTACACGGACGCTTTTGAGAATTTTCGAAAAATCAACGGACCCTCGTTCAACGCAGCTTCTGCAGTCGCGGGATAACTCAGTGCGGGTACTTTTCGTCTCCTGCATAATTCGTACTCGGATTTTATAAGGAGATGTATGCAATAAGTGCACAGGAGTCCTATGACGAAGGTACCGACAAAACCGACAACGTAACCGGCATCGTAAAAGGCCTTTGGCATGGCAAGTATACCGGTGCCTAAACTGCCTTTCAGTAGGTGGAAGAGGGTCTCGGAGTTTCTGTAAAATAAGATAAACAGTGGAAATTAGTTGATTTGTACTAATCGCAGGATAAAATTCAAATGCGCTGTCAATTCATTGTCTTGTCGATGGTGGTATATATAATTAATTAGGTAAAGATTCCTGTGTGCACTCATGACGTATGTGCACGGCCACGTGTGTGCGGTGAGAGGAACGTGGAAGAAAGCAGTGACGCTTGTTAATTGTGATTTACAGCGTCGCTTCTGTTCATTACCAACCGCGACGACGTAATAACAAACGAGTTCCTCAGGGCCGTAGCCACGAGGCGCGCTTTATTATTTATTTGGTGTATTAAATTTTCTCTCATTTTTTTTTAATTCGTTTTTCTTTCCTGTAACTCGAAATTACGATTGTACGTTGCTCTCTTTAACTCGTTCGGCCGGAGAAAGCGCGGTGAAATTTTTACTTATTGTATCGGGAAATGTGTTTTACGTGTTAATTATTAAGATTTTTTTATGGGTGATTGGAATTTTCTTTTTGCTACGAAGGCTGCTGGAAATGTAGGGTTGACTGTTCCAACCTTAGTCAGGTTACATTCACAATTGTGACGCGCACGATTGAGTCGGCACGTGGGCGGGGTTGCGTGTGAGAAAAACCGGCTAAAGGCGGATCCGCAAAATCGCAGGATAACATTGACACCAGGATACACAGGGAATTGAAATAATTATCTAATGAAACTCGATAGCGGGAAATTTGAATTGAAGTGGCCCAAATTGAATGCAACTCGGTCGTATTGCGCATGCGCGCTCTTCACGTAGTCAAACGTAAGACGTTAGTGACCTTCGGAGGTAATTATGTAAAAAGGTGTAAAATGTTAAATCTTTTTATTTCTCTCTCTCCCTTTATTTTTCAACAAAACTGCCAATGTTTTTAATACGAAGAAAATTGACACTGCATTTCTCTTTCTCGACTTTTTACAAATTTCTATTTTTATTCGAAAAATTATTAACTCTCGATACTCACGTGGTTGCGTGCTGTACCTCGCGATGTTCGTACGGTTCGTAATCGCCTTCGAGTTCCTTAATGTATTTTTTCTTCTTGTCCTCCAGCTCCACAACGTAAACATTTGCATTTTCCTTGAGACCGTAACTGTAATCGATTTTTAAAAAATATAAATTTTTGTAATGTAACAAAATTCAAAAATTTTATTTCAAGTAGCTCTGGTGTACGATCATCAAATCAGCTCTCACTTCTTAATTTTGAAATCACTTCATTTCGCTGTTTTTGCATGTATAAAAATTTGACCTGTTTTTTTCAAAATTTTTTTTTCTCACCTGTTTCGAGTGTCCGCCGTCGACGAGAATCGATTTTTCGAGTCCACAGCATTCTTAAACATAAATTTAAAAAATATATTGATACGCGCCGAACGTGTACCATGAAGTCATCAATCATTGGAGTTATCAACATCATCAAAATGCATCATAAGTAACCATACGTCTCATTAATCGTTCATGTCAGACAATCCATTTCTTGATTCCTATAATTTTCTATTAATTCGAAGGTTACCGTGCCACATCTCCCATTCCCGATTCCTAGTAAAAAATGACTCATTATTCGATGACTCAGAAAACAGGACCCTCCCGTCATCCTTCTTCCATAAATTCCCCTTCTAAACCTTAACTTTCGTATCCACACACATGACAAAGTACAGCACCGTAAGGATTCCATTCCAAAAGAAAAGAATCGAAATACAAAAATACGCTGAAAATTTTTTTTTTGCAAAATATAAAAACTTTATTTTTTTGCGAAATTTTAATTAACCCTTACGTTACCCGATTTCCACATTTTTTGTTCGATTCTCATTCATTTTCATTAACAGCGTTAAACAATGGGCCTTGAAAATAATACAAATTCTTATATCAATTTTCAATCATATCTTGAGCCAATAAATCGCCATATAACGTTTCCATACGTAAACGGTTGTAACGCAACTATTCCTTTCACTCTAGGAAGGAGAATGTCCGGCAAGGTCAGTAACGGCGGATCCGGTGGCTATCAATAATTTATTCGCGTTTAAATACATAGAAAAGGACAAACGCATTTGAAAAAAAATCGAAAGGAAAAAATATATACTCGTCTAAGATCTTTGTTTATCAATATGCTGTCATTTCCGCGATCATTCGCACTGCTATATACATATATTTAGTCCACGAGTTCAATCTATTTTTTTTTGACAGTTCGCAAGTAAATAAATCCTCAGCAAGTGACACGTGGTTTTGTGTACAACAGTCTAAGTATATGTTAAAATAGATAAATAACGTAAAACCGTGCGTATGCATATTTTGTAACAAATCTTTTACGCAGTGACACGTGTACCTTGCTAGAGACTGTTGTTTGCGATCTGTCAAAAAAAAAAAACATCAAACACGTGGACAGACTATAGATCCTCGTTAATGAGGCAAACCGAATCATTCGTAAGTGTGAACTGTGTATTGGAATGGATATGAATATACGAAACGCGTGTTACTAATATGGTAAAATTTTAGCAAATTCCGAATTTCCATAGCGTCATAAGCATAATTATTCGCGTATATAAGAAACAGATGAATTTATACGACAGACGTCAAACAACGTAGCAATATCGTAAAAAAAAAATAATTTTCTTCATTTTTCCAATTTCATGTATTTTTACGATCGTTTTTTTTTGTTTTTTACAACGTTAGTACTTTGACACTTTTGTATTCAATTGCAGATTTCATCGGCCCCGCTACAGAAAATGGCCATGAAGTTTCTATGGAGTCGCGACCCTGGCCCACGGTCACTGTGTTACATTGCGAATCGTGTTTCGCAATGAAATAACATGGGTGGCTGAAAAATGCATTGAACAGATACGTACAAGATTGACTCTGAGCTATCTGATTGAATTACGAGTATTTCCCTATTGCGGATACTCGGACTGCCGCGTCGTATAAAAATGTACTAAATATAAGTGTCGAATGTCCTCCTGCGTATGATAAACTTAGACCTTCCTCATAAAGTAACTTTACCTTGGGCGTGTAAATTCGATGGTCGTTCGTTACCCTTTTATGAGAATCATACCTTGAAGTCTACGTCTGGTACGTGTCACGAGGAAGTTGCTATTATGATTTAATGGACCGTATATGAATCCGAGTTATTCTATCTTTTCTTTTCGGTTACAGCATCAAGGACAGAATTTTAACCTTGAAGAATTCAATCTTGGAATTTCATAGAGACGCTTTAGTGACGTCTCCAATTATTTATTCTCTATGGCCGATAAAGTTCGTGAGATTTCCTGAAGGAGGAAATTTTAATAAAAATTTCATCGAACAAGCATGAAATTAATTACAGGTAAAAGTAAAGCCTGTGCTTGTGCTTAATTTACTGAGGCATATATATATATAACGTGCATAGCATACATTGACCGATCTTCACGGACAGAGCCCACGTTAAAAAAAATTTTCCTCTTTCCCATCTAATTTTATAACCGCCCGCAGTCTTCGCGAATCGAAGACTCGTTATTAGAAGTTGAAACCTTGAGGAAAAAAAAAGTTATTTTTATCAGCCCCAAAAGTCCTGACGGCTTCAACCGAAAATAACTTGCAAATTCGTTTCTGCTGACGAAATTTTTTTTTATTACCTAGATACGCTTCCGGTAGTACTACGCTACGTGCCACAGGGTATTAATGCTACTGGTATCTCGTTGTTGAATAAGAATCTTGTAAAAAGATTGTCTTCTTTCCTCAGATTTTCTACTTGATCTGCTGCCATGTAACGGATGGAATTTTCCATCGGCTATTAAATATACAATCTGTAACGAGTGATAACGAAGCTAACACATGATCGTCATCATTGGCATATAACCATAATATTTATCATGTCATTACAGTGTTTATAAATATTAGTTAAGTACTCGTATATATATATATATACATACTCTGTACAATAAAAATCTAACAGTCCATAATATTGAATTTGTTTATCATGGATTTTTATTTAATGCCATAACACTGTTAAAGTAGATACGTTCAGAAAAGTTTTTCTATAATTAAACTGGATTCTAATCCAGGATAAAAAGCAGTACCGAAGCAAATATCCAAAACAGACGCAGTAACTAAATTTACGTTACGCCAGAGATCTCTTTTTATTGGTCTAATAAACCCATGATACGTTTAGGACCGATGGTATAAGAAATATTGAGGGACTTACAGGATGACAATTATTTTTGAGCAGTTATTTATATCCTAGACTCGTTCCTCAAGTGGTTCCAACGAATTCGCCTTCGTACGCCTTTTAATCCATTATTGCAATTTATTAATTGAAAAGTCAGTAATTCCGAGCACGTGGAATTTTCCGTAGTGACCGTGTTCGACAAGTAAGCAACCAGACGGTATTAAATAGCTCGTTCTCCTTGGCACTGTATTTAATACCGAGATGCCATTGCTGTAGAGTTAAAGAGTAAAGAGTGTCACTGAAGGAATTACATTAATCGTCACAGCCATGCAGGAAAGAAAAGATACGTACGACGGAGTCGTAAGGTTTGTAAGCGCCATAGGTAAGTAGTTCGTAACTGTGATTGGCAGATGTCGCTCCGGTCGACTGTTTTACCATAGGAAGAACAACGAACTGTCAGTAGGGCTTCGTGAAACCGTTAGGGGTATAATTATTCAATGACTTATTCGCGATTATATTAAGTTGACAGTAGTGGTAGGTCGATGGTTGATAATATTGCGCTATGCTAGAGTATCGCGAAAATCTTGGCACACGACTCGAGTTATGCGGACGTGAATCATTAGAGGTTAGCGAGCTATCACGGTGTACACAAACTTAGAGAGGTCTATTGGAATTCGACGGCTGGCCAAAAATAAATAGGTGCGCGTGGACGAGAGTATGGGATCCGGTTTTATCCGGTAAGTCGAAAAGAAGTGAATACATTTTTTTGTCTTTGGCCGCGTCAAGAATCGTCCAATGACGGTAGAACATATTTCGTGGATGCGCAATGAGCACGATGTGACGCATAAAAGGAAAAAGAGACATTCGGCCCGGGAGATGTTAACGCATAAGAATGCCTTGGGGAAATTATGTAATACTTTTCTAAATACTGGATACGGTATGATGCATCGTACAGTGTACCAGTATAAATGGTATGTTTATCAGGATGACGCTAAATTTTTATGTATTATTTCATTTTATTCTCAATTTAATAAGTCCTTTGGCTGTTTGCCGAAAATCAAAGTCGTCAGTCGTCAAATCCAATGCGATTCTTTGAATTCCATTGGATTGTAGTTCCGTATATGTAATTTGCACGCGTACGCGCATGCTCTCGCTGCGCAAACGATGACTGTCATTGCGAATCGGCCAATCGCTTCTTCTCAACTACCAATAATAAGTTGACGATGATTTGATCCAGTTATTTTTAAATCATCGTGATTGCTGATTCAAAAGAAACATTCAAGGGTCAATCAATCCAAGTATGTACGTTAATGACGATCATATACCAGTTGTTCTTATACGTTCTGTCAAAATGGCTGGGAAAGCATCTTTCTTCAGTCTGAACCACGTGCAGTAAAGTGCAAAAGTGAAAGAGGATCCAATAAAGTACTTTTTTAAAATTTTAAAATTTTTAACATATAGGAGGTTTATTACCAAATTTTAAGTCACTAACTTCGTGCCCATACATAGGCTCTCGGGCAGCATAAAGTTAAACGGATTTTAAATAAAAATGTAGTAAATTTCTAGTACTCAAAATATATTTCACGACGGATTAATAAAAATTTCTTCACATCTATCTCGATGATATTTCATGATACACGCGTGGCCATGTTATTCGCGTTATTTATATTTCATTTTTATATTTCATTTTATCTTTACGAGTTACATGTCACTTTTGGATTAAGCAATCAAATTAAAAATTCCTGAGCTTATATGTAAATGATATATATATGTATATATATACAAGCGTCGCGTACGTATTTTACTGATGCATACATTGAGACCAAAATACAGTTGGATTGATTTAATTCGAGTTCCTGAGTGACGAAATAAATAGTCAAAACAACAAAATGTTTTATAATCCCAAATATATTTTAGTTCATCCCACCGAGTATCTGTTAAAGTAACAGAAAATATTTTATTAAAGAAAATTTTGTTTCGCCATCCGTGCACACCAATTTAGTCCAAACCAAGGGTATTTTTTTTCACTGGGAATTAGAGAAGTATATTACGAAATGAAAAGTGACTATTTACTTTTTCGGAACATAAATTCAGATTCGTGCTTAATGTCGACTGTCATTTACTAACAGGCTTAAGACTAATTCTCACGTGTCATGTAATGATACAAAACAATGTTTCCAACGATAACGACAATACTGATGATAATGAGTCTTGAAAAAAAAAAAACAATTGTAGAAACTGGTTTGGAAAACAAACTAAAAAAATTCACAAATGTCTGACAGGTTTTTTGTGCCGAATTGTCGTTTTGGAAGATGGCAAGCGTCTTGGAGGATGCTTTATATATATGCATATATATATATACATACATAACATGTATAAACTCTATGAAAATCAACTGCATTCAGTATTCATTTATTTGTCTCCGAGTGTTACGTGGAAAGATACGAGAATAAGATTTAAAAATTCACAGAGTTGATGCAAAGTAATAATTTATTACCTTGTCTCCGTACAACGTAAATGAGATGGCTATCAGGGAAAAAAAAGAAAAACAAAATTCTATTTCCGTAAGATGAGACAGTTTGAGATTTTCTGTAATTATTATCAAGAAACAATCAGACAACAGGTGTTTAATATTGATGCGAGCGAACGATAGGAAGTAAAAATACGTAATATCAAGTATCGTGAAAAGCATTGAATTGGAATAAAAGAAACACATAAAACCGATAACAATCGTATTAGATGTACACGTATGCAAAATTACAGTAAAAAAAAATACGAATGCACGAGATTTACGATAACGACGATAACATCGATGGTTACGATCTAAAAATGCATTTTGCATGCATTTTTCACAAGACGAGTGTGACCGATGCACCGCTCGATTCTTTCACACAGCCTAATGGCACGTATTATATTATATTATAATTGACTGGAATAATTACACTTTCCGGGCGGAACTGATCCGACCTTCTGAAACCAGTTAGAATCACCTAGGTCAATATGCATACAAGTGTGACTTATTCAACTACATGCATCGGCGTAATGCATCGGGACAATAAGCTCCCAAGTGCATCATTGACATACACAGAAAGGTGCACCGCCTTTGTCAGTTGCATTCAGAACGAAATCGGCGGCTGTGTGAAATGAAAAATTTGCACTTAACTTTGCCTTTGTTGTCTTTATTTTTTAAGCTATCGAACAATCTTTTATGGAGACTAAAAATGCATTTATGCATTTCTAAGTGCATCGTTATTCGTGTCACGCGATGCCTTGAAATTTTTAAAGATCAAGTGAGTAGAATCGAAATAACTTTTTTTTTAACGATTAATTAAAGTAATTTGGAGTCAATCATTTGATTCGATAGAAATAAATTAGATTTTAATTGAAATCATCATTTTGGGCGATTCATAAATAATTCAATGAATTACGAGTAGGAAATTGTCATCGTGTTCTTTGGCAAAGATCAGTAAAATAATGATGATGATGCTGATGAACTCTGATGAACTGTTAAGTATTATTTGCCAAGGCCCAATTTGCAAGGGTCCTAAACCATGTTGACAGACATAACAGACACGTTCCGTTGACAAGATGACTGGCCCTTATGCATTCTTAAAGAATTGACTCTTAATGACTGTCATTCAAAGGCACGACCTTAAGCCACTTGAGCCGGACTATATAGCGAAATTACGATCTTCCTGTAATCAGTTAAGTTAATAAGATGTAAGCGGATACCGTGCCTAAAATTTTTTTTATTTATTTTTTCACCTTGTGTCTTAAGAAAAAAGAAAAATTATCAAGATAGCAATTACTCGATTTTGGATTTTTTTTTTTTCCAAAATTTTAACAGGTCGAATATTACCGCGCTTCATCGTTTGTATAATTTATATAACAGTGTAAATCGCATGAGGCGTGTATAATAGCAACGTTATATATGTGATGCGTTTCGCACTATGAATTAACAATCATCACCTGTAGCTCGCGGGTCAGTGATAATTAGTGTAATTAAATTGTTTACCGACAGAGTGAAGTGATTCGTATCAAGGCTTCCGCGAGTGAAAAATTTAATCATTATTAACCCCTTTAGTGCTAAGGGCATATATATGTGTGTGGTGCGGGTTAAAATTTAAAGAGCTCAGCACTGAAGGGGTTAAAGTAAAATTGGAATTTCTTAAAAATCGAGGAAAGTCAAAATATGAAAAAAGAACGAAGAACCTAATGGCAGGAGGAATCGACGAAGCACATTTTTCTTTGTATATAAATAAACCAGAATCTCAAAATAAAAAAAAAATACTTTAAGGCGCCCACATAACTCCGACGCGCTAATTATTTTCGAAAAGAACTTGAAACCGGTGACATCCGAGGAAAGACGAAAGCAAATATTGACAAAAAAAAAACTTCCATCCATAAATCAAAAGTTCTTTGGTAATTTTCCTCTTTGAAAAACCGTCATATATATACATACACATAACGCAAACTCAAGTTTCACATCAAATCAATTATCATATCGTCACGCAGTACGATCCTTGAAATGCGAAATTATTTTTTTCCATCCCAAAAAAATTTCAAAATTAATAATTATATATATTTTTCATACAAAATCCAAAAATCACTTCAGACTCACCGTGCTGGATGTAAATCCAAGGTTATCGTGGGACATCGCGATACGTCAATTTCTTTTCTCTTGCTGGATGAAAATTCGACAAAATTCGAATTTTTCGATGCACTGTCGCTACAGCCGTTTTCTTGGTCGGCGATGAAATCACAAAATTCAATTTTATGAAAAATTTTATATTTTATCGAGAAAACAAAAAAAATCTATTATTAATACTAAATACGATCCACCTATGATTATAGGTATAATTAATGTACAAGACGTGAAAATTTGTGTGTTAAGCTTCAATTTAACTATTGAGACCAGGTTACGGATCGCATTATGTTGTTGCAGGTGCGATGGTCGCGACCGGACTGGTCCAACTATGTGCGAAGTATTATTTATATACTATGCCTCGACTGTCTGCCGACTCCCTGAGTTATTCGCTACTATGTTATATTTCGACTGCCTTTGACTTTTCTATCAGGTTCGTTTATCCCCACCACTCCCTAATGTTATCATTCATGATTTTGACTCTTATCCCATGAACTTCCGTACATTTCGCAATGGAAAATCACGCGGTGCCAAACGACACATAACATGGCGTGTATTCCATTGAAACGTTACGTGCACCATTATTATTATTATTGTTTCCAATTCCTTCTCCATGCATTTTGCACTTGACACTGCAGCTTCGTCATTCGTGTCTCTTTAATCGGCCCAACCGATTACGCCCTGTCTTATTATTTAACTCAATTTACCGAACAATAATTTTTCCAACGTTTTCAAATCTCTCTATGCACTCGTCCGTAAAGTGCATCGCTTTTCTTTTGAGCACATGGTCGTTCCACGGGTTCTTATTTTTTCAAGCGCTCTACTATTACCACTTAACGTACAATTTAGCATCCCCGTGTTTATGTCACACGAGCCAAAGATAGTCCCTACGACGGATAACGCGTTTCTTGGTAAACGAATAATTAATTTTCAAAAACGATTTTTTTTTTCAAAATTACCATTTTACGTATCTTACAATCAATTGGTCCAATCTTCGCTTCATACCTCCAGTCCTAATGCCATAATTGATAAACGTAATTTTTAATCATCGACTGTCGACACTGACGATGAATTATCAGCTATCATAAATATTTGTTTATATTGTTTTTCAGATTTAGTCATATCTTGTCCTGACATTCCAGCACAGTTTTTAATCGCAGAATTAATTTCTATAAAGGAAATTGTCGTCGCAACGTTCTGGCAATTCCTTGACCAAACTCCAGTGCAACAAATCGGCAGTTGCAGTTGTTCCATCTGGCCGAGCTGCCGCATTCGTACGACCGTGATATCAGCTGAGTAATTTCCAAGGATCATTAGCGTCGTCGGTGTCGTTATGACGCGTAACCGAAATTGCCATTGGCACTTGAGATGATAATTAAAAAGTATCCATTTTGGCAATGATTTAATACGAGAAGAAAAAACGGTCGAGTCGTTCGAAAGGCCGAGTGATTCATTTTAAATTACGAATTCGTAACGTTCGTTGTACGAATTACCAAACGATGTAATTCATCGTACGGGACGGTAAAAGTACGTCGTGACGATCTCCGTCGGTATTGTCACTCGTCGTACGATCGATCGTTAATATTTGTTTAGATCACGTGGGCTCTTGTGCAATTTGTCCCCATAAAACGGACGAGACGGAAACGCAAAGCGCGGCGGATACAGTTGTTATTACCGTAAGACGTAGAAGTTGCGTCAATTGGATTTTGCTTATCCCGTATCGATGCTTTATCGTCATTCGAAGTCTTCAGTGTACATATTGATAGACTGCTGAGATCGAGATTTGATTTATATGTTTATTCCTTGTTTTCTGTTTCTTCTAGTTTTACGCGACAGCTGCCAAGCAGTACCATATAGGATCCGTTGAAAAGCACGTGACGACGCAGTTGATGCACGTAATAGTTTAATTAAAGAAACGTTAGGTTAGTTAGCTGGCTCTTTAACGATTGAATTATGGTTATGGTAAGATTAGAAAATAAAATGATAAATTATGTTGATAAGATTCGATGAGCGTTTGTTAATTGTTATTATAATTGATTGGATTATGTGAATTGAGGTCTGTGTGGATTTTTTGAGGGATATTTGAATGCAAAAAATAATTTATTAATTTTGAAATTCGACCGAGGAAAATATGACGTTCGAACGATCGAACGGGTTTGTCGGATTCTGCGAACTGATATTAAAGGTAATTGCATGTGTTTGAGGATGCCCGGGTAGGCGTGAAATTTTCCCTGAATGAGAACGTAATTCGCGTGTGTTCTCGATTGCATTCAGTGGACTTTTCTGCTTTGTGGACACGATATATGTTTGTTGCGGTCACGGAAAAATTTCCTATCCCGTATCTCGTGGACATTTTGTTGGATGCATTTCCTGTGGGAATTCACAGAACTTTTTGATGTATTAATAAGTGCTATTTCCATTGCCACCTCGAACGTCTGAAATGAACGAATAAAGAATTATTAACGTTGAACGTATGTGACAATACGAAATTGTATTTGTACATATCCGCATTTTTAATCCGAATCTCATTGTTACCTTTATCAATGTAGGGAGAGTAAGTATCAAGATTTTTTAAAGTATAAACGTCAAATATATCCGACAATTTTTTCAACTTGATTTCCATTATACCGACCTATCGAGATTTCGTCATCGAAATGCCGACGGCGTAGGGCCGAAGATAAGTAAATTATTTTTTAGTAGTCGTTATCGCCTTTTGGTGCATCAGTAATGTCGGTATTTCAGGTCCCTGGCATACCATCTTCAGACAACGCTTTTCATGACAGCAGTGACTTTACCGACATTGTTCTTACCAACAGATGGTAACAAAATTGTAAAACACTGACCAACCACTGATTTGCACAAAATGTATTTAATACTATTGACTGAATATAAATCGAGTAGACATGCTCGTGTATTTTGTGCCACCCAATTCTGAAATGTAGAATATATATCTATATATCAAATTTCAACGGTAAAGTCCATTCGCAGCTGTTCCCGACACGCGAGCCTCACGGATATATGTATTTCATAAGATGTGCAATCAATTTACCTATTTAGTCTCTTGTCCAATCGAATTTTTCGAAACAGTTTTTTTATAATCTCAAAACGTCTAGTAACTTAGGATAAATAATACTATAATCTAGTACCTTTTAGTTACACTGTTCGTCAAAATATTAAAAATGCCTCAGCGTACGAATCTGTCTAGAAAAATATACTGCTTGTAAGATTAAAGTGGAATAACAGACATTTCTTACTTGATAAATGTTTCACATGATATGTATCAGTGTCACGTGAAAAAGGGGGATAACCTTCCTAGTGGAATTTCGAAATCTCATACCGAATTCACGTTAAATCGTGCTCATATTTGTCCATCCCTTAAAGAGAAAATTAACCTAACCTAACAAAATCACCAAGCCACGCAATCATCTGGCAATCGACAGAACATTCTGAAAATAGGATTAACCAGGTTATCCGCAGCTATTGAATGGACGTTCAGGTTTCCATTGTCGTCCAGTTAGCACAGTTGCGTATATGTGGTCATATAGGTAGTTATATACGTCTGTCAACGTCCACATGTTTCTGCTGATGACTCTGTCCAAGTTAGAGGCAATCGAGTAGACAAGTTAAAATTCAAAATTAAGAAATTGAAAACCGCTAATAAATATTCCCAAAAAAATCCTCTCCAGTGAGACGCATAAAAATGATAAAGTCTATCCCTATCTTGTTTGCACAGTATGTAAAAATAAAGATGGACGCACAGAAGCTAAAAAAGTTATTGAATAAAGGAGCAGTAAATTCAAAAACATCGAAGGGTCGGGAGCCGTGTTTTATCATGACACAAAGTAGTAACTCGAATTTCGTAGAAAAAGATAAGGTACGCGTAACAGGGAAACATAAAGTGAAACAGGGACGGAATACGTACGTATATGAAGCAAGATGGCGTAGCAAAATGCGAAGTCCAGAATGAGAAAGGAAATGATGAGAACAGCTAAAGCCCACGGGAGGAAACTTCCTCGACGTTTCTCGTCATCTCAAACAAGATATTCCGACAATGCTGAAACCACAGTCATGCAAATTGCGTGATAGTACCCTTCAGGTACTGGGAGTCGCGACGCCTCGGATCCAATGGTGTCGCTGCCGTCGCATCCTGCCATACCGGCCGACGGAATAAAGTTAGCCGGGGTTGCATTTACGCCCGCGTACGAAAAGTTAGACGTTTCGTGAGCATTGTGGAATAACAAAGTGAAGTGAAGTTTCTCAGTAAAATGGTTATAAAAGGTTAGCAGATTGGATTGGATTAGAATGGGTCGATCCAAATATAGAAAAAGTCTTATAACGTTAAACGCGTCTACGTGTTGACGGTCAGTCGACAAGTGTCAAAAGTTTTCGTAAATTGATTGATGGGGCTGTGTACCCGGGCGTGGACAATTATTGTGGTATTCTCGTGATATTGACACTGGAATATTTTGGGTTCACCTGATTTTCACCGATCGGAGAGAATTCACGAGACAGGCTCGAACCTACCCTGTAATCTGGCATGGCCCTCTTCCATCCCTTGGGAATCCTTCTCTTGTAGGGTTTGCCAACTATTCGACTACTATGCTGGCTTCTGTCGCAACTATGCTACAGTTTACAACGTGGCGACGTTACATTCCATCCTGGCGATATTGCCTGGATACCCAAGCAATTTGACGTGTATGCGCTTTATACGTGTAGGGTAGTCCCTTCGTGTTGCGTTCTTGTGATTTGGGTTATTGGCGCATTCGTATTTTGGCTCTGCGTGCATGGGACTTTTCGAACACGAATGTGAAGCATCGTTCGTTATAATTCAAAATTTGCGATTACGTAATTTTTATCTAAACCGTAATTCCTCTTTGTGTCTCTCGGGATCACGTGGTTCTGTTGCTTCTGCTGGCTTCCGGTAATGTTCCACATCTTTTCCGAAGGAAGATTTCTTTGTTACCCACGTGCATTCGGACTAAGTTAATTATTATCGTGTCAAAGCTGTATAATTTTTATACACTTTTTGGCAATTCAGGTTAATTTGGACTTTGGCATCAAATCTCATATTCATAAGGGAAATAAATAATACTAGGGAAACAGTATACCTTCTTGGCCATGGAGGTTGGTTGTACTTATCCGATAAAGTTACTAGATGACATATGCATTGCCTTTCACACGGTACTAGGATTTTTTTTGTTCGATGTGAAATTGCCCTCCACTATTGACCTATGACTTCGTTTTTTTTCTGCGAATTTTTATCAAAAATCAAGTATGAATTTTGGAATAATAATGAATTATGAAATACTTACTTGTGCCTTATGACGATACAACAGTCGGCTTAGGGTCTAAGAACGGGGAAGGTGTTGAGACAAGAGTAACT